CAACAAAGAATGTCACTGTGAGGCTTGACCTTCTGATTAAAGCTGTTATCATCGCTAGTATAAATGTATATTTTGCTGAATTTTTCCCCCCCTAATCCCTGCTTTTCTTTAGTCCAAGTAATGGGAAGAAAATGTCTTTTGTTTGACAGATAACGATAGTAACCAAGGATTCCCTAAGATACTAGGAACAACATTTGTTTATTCTAGTACCTAAACACTTCTGACTGTACTTTAAGGAAAGGTACACTACTTGACACATCATCATCATTGTTGTTGTTCATTTCCCTCAGGTCAACTCTGAGTAATGATGACCATATACAACAGATTGAAATCATGCTAGATCATGTGACATACTAGTGATCTCCTCTATGTCTAACCCTTTGCTACAGTTATTTCAGTCCATATCATTGAAAGACTTTGATCATTGGTGTTTAATGTTTCAAACTTAGTTTTTTTAAAAAAAATTTTTAATTATTATTATTTCTTTTAATGAAAATTTACAGGGACTTTGGATTTCCATTCATTCATTGTTGCACTTTTCTCCCTGCCCCCTGCCCCCAGTTCCCTCTTGTCTTTGAAAAGTAAAAGAAAAATTCTTTAATTGTTATGCAGTCCCTCCCCCCAGGTCCACTCCACTATACAGCCTTTATTCTGGACTCCAGTCATGACAATAATACCTAATCACATATCCCTTTTAAGCAGTTTTCTCCCTTATCTGTTTCAATGCAGTATACATTATTCATCCCATCTTTTACAGTCTTCCCCCAACCCCTATGTCAGTCCTGTTTTACAACAGTGACACTATTAAGTATTTGTCCTTTTGTGACTGAGATATTTCACTCAACATAATGTCCTCCAGGGTCACCCTTTGAATAATATTTCATGAGTTCCTTGTTTTTAATACACCATAGTTATTCCATTGTGTGAATATATCAGAGCTTTTCTAGCCATTCATTTGTTGATGGGCTCAAACTTATTCTTAAGATGATCTTGAAATTCAGATGGAGTAGATTCAAGATTATGTCTTGGTTTTTATGAAGTTAATTTACTTCAGCTTCAATTTGAATTTACACATTGGTAATTGTTAGTCTGACCCAAGGTTCAACCTTGGCCTAGTTTTCACTGCCAATATGGATGTCGTCTGTCCGATTTCTATGTAGCCCATTAGGTGAGGTCCATATGCAAAGTCGTTGTTTATATCTTTTAAAAATGATATTTGTAATAAATAAATCATTAAAAATACAAAATTTGATCATTCTATTTCTAGCTTTATTTTTGTCACCAAGCAATATTTTTCAATTACTGTTCCTTTTTCCCTTTTCCCAACTTTTGCATTCCAGTCACCAGTTACCATTAACACACCTTGATTGCATGTTCAGTCAATTTTGGACCTCAAAATTTGGTAAAAGTTTTCAATTCCTTCCTCTTTGTCTCTAGATGTAGGAGCATATGTTTGAATTATAGTCCTATTAACTGGTTTTCCTTGGACATGAAAGGATACATATTGTACTTCAGGATTGAACTTGAAATTGACTTTTACCATGAATGCAACACCATTCTTCTTTTGTTTTTCATTCCCAGCATAGTATACTATATAATTATCTGATTTAAAGTGGCCAAAGCTAGTCCATCTCATCTCACTAATGCCTAGTATGTTGATGTTCATACGTTCCATTTAATTTTTTGCAATTTCTGGTTTTCCAAAATTAAGTTGCACACATTCCACATTCTAATTATTAAATGATGTTTACAATTATTTTTCCTCATTTCGACTGACTTGGCTCTACATTACTATAACTATCTCCATTCCTCTACTGTTCATAGGATTTTCAGAGGCCTGTTATTTAACAAGTGGATGGACACTCCTGCTTTCCTAGTCTGTCATAATCTGGGAACTCTAATAAAACCTGTCCACCATGAGTAATCCTTGCAGCATTTGACACATCAGTGGCATAGCTTTCAGTATTACAGCTACTCATAAGTTATCTCAGTACAGCAAACTGATTGAGGCCATGGTCTTTCCAATCATTTGTTATGCTTCTGAGAGCCGGACAGTAAATAAGGATGACAGAAGAAGAATTGATGCCTTTGAGATGTGGTGTTAGAGAAGAGCACAAAGCATCCCCTAGACTACCAGAACAACAAACAAATATATCTTGGAAAGGGGGAAGCCAGAATATTCTTTGGAGCCATAGATGATGAGGCTTTGCCTTACATACTTTGGGCATGTTACTAGGAGGGGACAGGATGCTCAGAAAGGTTGAGGGTCAGGAAAGGAGAGGAAGACCCTCAACCAACTGGATTGACACATTTACTGCCACAGTGAGCTCTAATGTGTCTGGAAGTGTGAGGATGGCACAAAATAGGACAGGGTTCAGATCTGTTTTTCATAGGGTCAGTATGAGTTGTGCTTGACTCAATGGCACTAACAATAACAACATTGACCCCTGCTTTTCCAAGCAAGAGATCTTTCTCTAAGAACTAGCACCTCCTGACAACATACCAGAAGTGTGTCAGAAGATGTCTTACCATACTTGATTTTAAGGAGCAGAATGACTGTACTTCTTCTAAGAAAAATGTGTGTATTTGTTGTCAGTTTGTGGTATAGTCAGTACCATTTGCCAGCACAACAATTTAAAGACTTCAGTTCTTCATTCTTCCTTATTTATTGTTCAATAATTACATCCATTTGAAACAATTGGAAATACTGTGGCTTGGATCAGGTAATTCTTAGCCTTTAAATAGTATCACTTCTCTTTACCATTTTACATCCCTTTCTTTAGCACTCTAAAGAGACTTTGGCAGCAGATTTGCCTAATGCAGTACATTTTTAAATTTCTTGATTGCTGCTTCCATGGATGTGGATTGTGAATCCAAGCAAAATTAAATCCTTGACAGCTTCAGTCTTTCTTCTGTTTATCATGATGTTGTTGACTACAGGTTCAGTGTGAGAATTTTTCGTTTTCTTGATGCTGAGTTATAATCCATACTGAAGGCTGTGATCTTTCATCATCTTCAGTAAGTGCTTCAAGTACTCTTTATTTTCAGGAAGCAAGGTTGTATCACTTACATTATACAGGTTATTGATAAGTCTTACTCCAGTTCTCATACCACATTCTTTATATAACCCAGTTTTTCTGATTATTTGGTAAGCATGCAGATTGAATATATGTATGATAACAAGATACAATTCTGATGCATACCTTTCTTGATTTTAAATTAGAAAACATGTTGCTTGGTCCATACACAGAGTTTGCATAAGCATAGTTAAGTGGTCTGAAATTTCCGTTTTATTTACTGTTAGTGCATATATTATAATCCACACAGGGTTTGGTTTTTGTTGGGGTTTTGTTGTTGTTGTTGTTGGTTTGTTTAGTCAATAAAATACAAGTAAACATCTTCTGCAACAGACATCAGTATTTTACTGGGTTATTGTTGTTTTGTTTGGGTTTTATTTATTTTTTTTTGTCTTTACACTAACAGCAGATTAATTTTCCTAAGAAAATTTATCTGCATTATTCTTGTTATTCTTTTGTTTTAAAATATTCCTACATTTCGTTTACCTTAGAAATGTTCAAATTATTCACCTTTGCAAAAGGCCCTATATGCATGGCCTAAGCTTACCTTTTTAACTTCTTTTCAGTTATTTTGTTATGGTTGTAATGTGCCATCAGATCATATATGACTCATAGCAATCCTGTGTGCATTAGCTCTGAACCTTCTCCTATCCTGAGCCAGTCTCACTGTCTCCGACACACATACCCCCATTATCCTAATAACTGTATCAGTCCATCTCATCCAGGGTCTTCCTCTCCTATACTGTCCCTCCACCCTTCCAAGCATTATGTCCTTCTCCAGGGACTGGTAAATTTAAAATATACTCAATAAAAGAGAATATTGTAAAAACGCGCTCCTTAGGAAGTTCACAATGAGATATATCTAAATTTTGTTATAAAAAAAATTAAATACATGCCTGCAGAATGTGAATCAAAAGATAACTTTAAGACTCATCTTTCTACTAATCTGTTAGTAATCTGTATCACCTTTTCCTTACCTTTCCTCAACAGTAGGTACTTTTGGGGTCTAACCTGTATCTGTTCAATTATTTTCTTTCCACTGCCATCACATTGTTCTTTGCCATACCTTGTCATACTCACCTGGATTACTAAAAAGGCCTCTTAGCTTGTCTTCCTACTCCTACATTCATTTATCATCTTCATTACAGACATCAGAGAGATCTTGTTGTTAAATATTAATCATGCCTTTTACAGAAACAAACCTTAAGACCTTTATGGCTTTCTATCTCTGTTAAAATAAAACCCTGAGTCCTTAATGTAACCTAGAAAATCCATCATGTTGTAATTCCTACCTACGATATCCTTTCACATCCCTGATAGTCATCCTTTTCTATGACAACTCACTATTTTTTCCACAGTGCTTTTAAAAAGATTCTTTAGTGAAAGTTTCTTCCTACACCGTAAACTTTGTGTATGTCAGCTTTGGAATTTTCACAAAGTTCCAGGTTTTGGCCCCTTACAATACAAATCCAATAATTTTTAGTAAAGCAAGTTTTTCTTTGATGTATTCTGTTAATCCTTTATTCTAATTAAAAACCATTAGCCCTTTATTCTTTCTTATAGCTGTTGAATAGGAAACTATATTCCACATTATTAAGAAGTACACTGTTGTTGAAGAAGCTCACTATCAGCTATGAAAACTAGACCAGGTGCTGATTATGGAACAGACCATCAACTACTCATATGCAAGTTCAAACTGAAGCTAAAGAAAATAAAATTAAATACAGATTCACTTTCTAGGCACATAGCCAGTAACTGATTTTGGTGACATAATATCTATTTATTTATAAAATAATTCTTAAGTATCACTTCATAAAATTGTGTGAATTTTACATATAGGCTTAGTTAATATAGGACTATTCCTTGTCCCCTCTCCTTTTGATACATCTTTTATCATTCTTACATTTTCTTTCTTTTTCTTTTGTAAAAGATTGCAGCATCCTACGGAAACGTTATCTCTGTTTTTGAACCAGTTAACCTACCAAAGAAAAAGAAGAATTTGGTCAGTATTTATCATGGGTTTTTTTTTAATGGAACTGAAATTTATAAAGAATCAGAAGATACTTTGATAATATTACATCTCTAGCAAGTATATAAGTGGGAATTATATACAGTTGAAGATAGGCTACTTAATACTGAAAATATATTTGAATATTTAAATCAGACCAGTATCTATGAGTTATTTAAAATGCTTATCTTTTTTCCTGACACTTAAAATCCATATATTACAGTTCATTCTTTGATTTCTAATTTAGCTTTATATACTTTTATATCTTTTATTTTTATATATATTGGTTTTATGGATACATATCTTAATTGGAAAATTTTATACCTGCAGGAATTATTTCCTTACATTTATTTATTATATCACAGAATATAGTTTTGTTATGAGTCACTGAATGCTTTATTTATAATGAAGCTGTTTAGCAATGGTTCTCAAGGCTAGTTGAAGAAATAATAAATATTGATGTTTTATGGTGGATCTCAGATGATTTAATAACCAGTAATTATATTGTATGCAATCTGGTTGGAAACTGACTCAGAAAAACCTCGGAAAACTTTGTCTGGTGGACAAGAGGAGAGTGTCCATTCTTCTCCCAGGGAACAGCTGGTCGATTCAAACTGCATGCCTTCGAGATGTAGAACGTCTTCTTACCAAGATGCCACCACCAAAGCTTCCTTAACTAGAAGTCGGATAACGTTAAATTTGTGATTTAAACCATATGAAAATCGATTACCAATTAACCAAAACATCATTGTGTTAAGAATCAAAGAACTGGCTTCTCTCATTGTTGTTTTCTGGATGTCTGATAACTCTTATGTGGCTCTTTTTTTCAACTCTAGAATTGATTAATATGTATCTTTTCTGGGATTGTCTTAAGGTTGGCATGAAGAGGGAGTCTGTGTGGAAACACTAATTATAAAGACTTACACATAAGAACATATAAAACTACTTTTTTTTTTTTTTCTTTCTACCCCCCCCCCCCCAGGGTGCCTGTCGGGGCCTGGGTTTCAGCTGTCCACACCACAGCAGTGGGCAATGAGCTTAAAGCCCCGATGGCTCTGGGCGCTGACTCTCACCAGTGGCTATGGATGAAGTCACAGGCGATTTTCAGCCAGCGCCGGAAAACTACTTTTTTAATAGATAAATTTTAAGAGTACATTTTTTATTGTTTTCATAAAACTTTTACTCAACTCATTGGTATCTTAACTCTGTATGATTTATGTAGCTATTATTTCTTTTTTATAAATAAGGCAAATGACTTGACCAATGAAACATCTAGTTAGTTATAGAACTAAGATGAGCAAACTGTATTGATTTGTAACTGAACGTTCTTTTTCCTACCTCCAGTTAATGAAAACAATTTCTATTGGTTAATTGGTTTGCATCGTTGAATTTTGTGAGATTTGTGTCCACAGTTATCCCAATTTCTGTTTGTTTGCAAGACAAAGTGTTATGATAAAATGTGCAAAGAGCTGGTGTTAGAAAATAGAAAAGGGAGAACACATTCAGCACTTCTCACATTGAAAGAACACTCTCAATATTTCTCAAGTTGAAAGAACTGAAAACTCAACTCAAGCCTTGAGTTCAATACTGAAGCAGAAAAGGGGCAAATTTTGAATGTTGCAGGAAGCATCAAAAGAACGTAGGAGGAATTCACAGTCATTGTACCAAAAAAGATTTGGTTGACAACCAAATGTGCCAGGAAGTAGCATATAATCGAGAAACCAGTGATAAGGAAAAAGTTGAAGTTGTACTGAAGGTATTGGTGAAAAATAGAGAACCAGGAATTGATGGAATACCCATTTTCATGTTTCACAAAACACATGCAGCCCAGGATGTGTTCACTAGTCTATGCCGAGAAGTGTGGAAGAGAGCTACTTGGCCATCAGACTGAAAAAGATCCATATTTGTGCCCATTCCCCCCATAAAGTGATTTAACAGAATATGAAAGCTATTAAATAATATCATTAATGTCACAAGTAAGTAGAATCTAAGAGAAGTATGCTAAAAAAAATTACTGAAATTGTACATCAATAGAGAATTCCCAGGAATTCAAGCTGAATTTTAAGAGGCCACAGCCTGATGGTTATCATTGTTGATGTCAAATGAACCTTGCATGAAAGCAGAAAATATCAGAATGTGGTTTATTTATTTGTATTTTATAAAGACATTTGTCTATGTATATCATAACAATTATGGATAAAATAGAGAAGAATGAAAATCCTAGAGCATTTAATTGTACTCATGAGAAACCTATATATAGACACAAGAAGCAGTTGCTCAAACAGAACAGCAGAACACGGCATGGTTTAAAATCAGGAAAGATGTACATCAGTCTGTATGCTGAGCAAATCATCCAAGAAGCTGGAATATCTAAAGAATGGCATCACTATTGGAGAAAGACTCATCAGTAGTCTTCATTATGCTGATGACACAACCTTGCTTACTGCAAGTGAAGAGACTTTTAAACACTTGCTACAGAAGATCAAATTACAGCCTTCAATATGGATTACATTTTACATCAAGAAAACAGAAATCTTCACCTTTGCACCAAGAAACAGTATCGTGATAGGTGGAGAAAAGATTGTCAATGACTTCATTTTACTTTGATCCATAATCAGCACCGGGGGTAACAGCTGTCAAGAAATCAAAAGAGAGGTTACATAGGGGAAATGTTTTCTCAAGGACTTCTCCAAAGTTCTAAGAACAAGGTTGTCACTTTGATATTTTTTTGTTTAGTTTTTATTATCATTTTTAAAATAAAAATTGTATACTGTTTGCTTACAAAGTTCATATACACCAGTTCTTTCCCATTTTCTTTACCCAACCTTCCCTCCACCCATCAGATTTTGCAACCTTTTGGTTAAATACTCCCCAACCCCCACCCATCCTCACCCCTTGGCTCCTCATACACGTTCTACAATAATGATATTGTACCATATTTGTCCTATGAGACTGAGTTAGTTTACTTTGCATAGTGCTCTCCAATCAGTTTATCTCTTTATAGCCTATGGTGCACTTTACCCAAGCCATGGTATTATCAATATTTTCCTATGCATCTGAAAGTTGAACAATGAATATAAGGATCCAAGAGGGGTGGGAGAGGGTGGAAGCTGAGGAATGAGGATGAGCAGGGGGAGGGGACATTAATCATGAAGTTGTACAATTTGATGGGTGGGGGATGAGGGAAATTGAGAGAATCTGTTCTTGAAAACAATGTATTCTAATTTTGTAAATAAACTAGTATAAAATTTAAAAAAGTGAAATGAAAGGACCTTTGTTAGGTGCTGTCAAGTCACTTTTATCTCAGAGTGACAGTTAATATTAAGGGAGCTGAATGAGAAGAATGGCAATCCCAAAACACTTAATTGTGCTCATGACAAATCTATACCTAGTTAAACTGTTGTCTATACAGAAAAGGATAACACTGCATGGTTTAAAATCAGGATGTGTGTGCGACAGAGTTGTATTCTTTTGCCATGCCTATTAATCTGTATTCTGAGCAAATAATTTGTGAAGTTGTACTCTGTAAAGAGGAATATGGCACCAGATCATCGAAGGAGTCATTAACAACCTGCATTATGCAGATAACAACCTTGCTTTCTGAACATGAGGAGGATATAAAATGTTTGCTGCAGAAGATCAAGGACTGAAGCCTTTCACATGGTTTACATCTCAGAATCAGGAAAACAAAGGGCTTTACCATAGGACCAGTAGTCAACATTATGATAGGTTAAGAAAAGCTTGAGGCTGTCAATATTTTCATCTTGCTTGAATCAACTATCAACACCCGTGGTATCAACAGCAGGAAATCAGGAGAAGTATGGAGATGTGGTGCTGGAGAAGCATCTTGAACATATACCGTGGACTGCAAAGAAAACAAATAGGTCTGTCTTAGAAAGGGTGAAACCAAGTCTTTTCTTGGAGGTTAGGATTTTGAAGCTTCGCCTCACTTTGGGAACATGGCCAGGATCAGACCTTGGAGAAGGACATCATGCTCAGAATGACCTCGATGAGATGGATTGATACAGTGACTGGGGCAATGGGGGTTGGTGTGTCAGAATTAGTGAAACTGGCTTAGGACAAGGAAGGGTTCAGAGCTCAGGACAAGGAAGGGTCACTATATGTCACTGGCAACTCAGTGTCGGATAACAACAGTAACATACTATGACAGATTTGGAAGCAGGAGTGGCATCCACTTCCTAAATAACATACCTGTGGAAACTATGAATTTTGATAAATGTCGATACTTGTAGAGGGGCTTCAGGCCTTTTGTTCATAGGGTCACTATGAGTCATGGTAAACTCGAAGGCAATAAACGGCAACAACAACATTGCATTGGGCAGTCCACTGTTGGGCACTTCTCCAAAGTGCTGAAGAGCGGTGATGTCAGTTTAAAGACTAAGGTGCACCTGATCCAGGCCTTGGTCTCAGCAATTACTTGCTATGCATAAGAGAGCTAGACAAAGAAGAAATGATGCCTTTAAATTATGGTGCTGGAGAAAAAATACTGAATATCTATAGCCATAGTATTCTTTGGAGGAAAAGATGGTAAAGCTTCATCTTTCATTCTTTGGACATATAGCTAGGCATGACTTTTCCTTGGAAAGATGGAGAGTCAGTGATGAAAAGGAAGATCCCAGTGAGATGCATTGACATAGTGACTTCAGCAGTGGGCTTTACTGTGTCAGATATAATGAGGATGGTACAAGATAGGACATGGTTAAGGTCGGCTCTTTAGAGGGTTGCTATGAGTCATACTCAATTTGATGGTACCTCACAACAGCAATGGGTAGAGAGTTGCACAGCCAACTCTAAGGCTGGTAGTTCGAATCCATTAGTTGCTCTAGGAGATAAAGATAGGCCTTTGTCTTTCTCTGTAAACTGCTGGAAGGTCAGCTGTAATTGATTAACTTGACTGCACTGAGAAGGAAATATTACATCACTCATTCTGAATTTTTTTACATGTAGTCAGTGATATCCCAGATGATAATGAAATATGTTCAAAGAGAAGGAAGCCCTAAAATGTAGAACTTCATGTATACATTTAAAATCAAACCTTTGACTGTAACTATAATGATAATAATTACTATAGTTTTTTCAAAAGTGACTGGAATAGCACATCAGCAGAGACCTGCCAGAAGTGCGGACTGGGTTGAGAAGAGGTCCTGGTACTAGAGATATTGTAGATAATGTTAAATGGATCTTGGCTGAAAGCAGAAAGTACCAGAGGAATGTCTATCTGTGTTTCATTGACTATGCAAAGGCATTTGACTGTGTGGATCACAACAAACTGGCTAACTCTGAGAAGAGTGGTAATTCCAGAACACTTCATAGTGTTTATGCAAAACCTATACTTGGACCAGGAGGCTCTCATCAGAACAGAACAAGGAAAATACTGCATGGTTCAAAATTGGATGGGTGTACGCCAGAGATGTATGCTATCTCCATAACTTTACAATATATATGCAGAACAGATCATCCAAGAGGCTCGCCTATATGAGGAAGAGTGTGGCATCAGGATTGGAGGAAGAAACATCAACAGTCAGCGTTACGCAGATGACACAATCATGCTTGCTGAAACTGAGAAGGACCTGAAGTGCTTGCTGCAGAGGTCAAGGACTGCATCTTCAATATGGATTGAAGCTCAACATCAAGAAAATAAAGATTCTCACCACTGGGCTTTTGGCAGCATTATGATAGATGGTGAAAAGATTGAAATTGTTAACAGCTTTAGTTTGCTTGGGTCCACAGTCAATACTCCAGAAGCCAGGAAATCAAAAGACATATTGCATTGGGAAAGTCTGCTGTCAGGGACCTCTACAAAGTACTGAAGAGCAACAGTGTCAGTCAGGAGGCTAAGGTGCACCTGATTCAGTCTTTGCAATTACTTGCTGTGTGTCAGAAAGCTGGACAATGACTAGGAATGATAGAAGGAGAATTGATGCTTTTGAGCTCTGGTGCTGGAGGAGAATATTAAATATACCATAAACAGCTAGGAGAACGAACAGGTTTGTCCTAGAGAGGGTGAGACCAGGCTGCTCCTTGGATGCAAGGATTCTGAAGCTTCATTTGACATACTTTGAACATGTTGCAAGGAGGAACCAGTCCTTGGAGAGGAACATCATGCTTGGGAAGGTGGAGGGATAGCGCAAGAAAGGAAGACCCTTGATAATATTGATTCAGTGACTAGGGTAATGGGGGGTAGGTGTTTCAGAAACAACACATTTGGCATAGAATAGAGCAGGGTTTAGTGCTGTTGTACGTAGGGTTGCTTTGAGTCTGAAGTGACTCTACGGCACATAACAACAACATAGTTTTTAAAATTTAAGGTTAATTTCATTTTGAAAGTTTTACATTCATGGTTGATTATTTATTATATGCTAAAAAATAGGGTTTTGGATCTCTTAAGGATGGAAATTCCCTCACTAAAGTAATCTCCAGTACATTTATTATTTTTCCCTTATCAAGTACTTTGTTTTTGGAGTTTTTGTTTGTTTGATTGACTAAGTACATTGTTCTTAAAAATGACTGTATAATAGCAGTAAGCATGAATATGTGCATTTGATAGAAAAAGATATAGTAATAATTACATATGTGTTTTTTAATTGTAGGATTCATATAATCAGTGGCAGAAAACTGGCCAATTTTTTCTGGAGTCAGTTGCACACAATATAACTTGGGATCCCACAGGTAAGAAAACAATGAGAATACTACTTTTATTTCACGGCTGCTTTGTGTGAGATTATGGAGTTTACAAAAGTAATTTTAAAAGATCATACCTTTCTAGAACTGAGTCTAAAATGAATTAAAATATGCATTGTAATAGATGACAGAATAAAGAAATCAAAAGATGAATTGTAGTAGGGAAATCTGCCATCAGGTACCTCTCCACAGTGTTACAGAGAAATGATGTTGGTCTAGAGACTAAAGTGTACTTGTTTCGGGCCATGGTCCCTGCAGTTTTTTGCTATACATGACAGAGATGGACAATGTCTAAAGATGACAGAAAAAGAATTGATTCCTCTGAGTCGTGGTGCTGGAGAAGTGTATTGAATGGACTGCCAAGAGAACAAACAGGTCTGTCTTGCAGAGGGTGAAACAAAGCTGCTCCTTGGGACCAAGGATTTTAAAGCTCCTTCTCAAATACTTTGGGCAGATGGCCAGGATGGACCAGTCACTAGAGAATGACATCATGCTTGGATGGGTGTTAGAACATCACAAGAGAAGAGGACCCTGGATGAGATAGATTGACACAGTAACTGGGGTAATGAAATTGTATCAGAGACAGTGAAACAGTCTCAGAATAAGGCAGGGTTCAGAACTAATGTCCATAGAGTAGCTATGAGTCACAGGCAACTCAATGGCACATAACAACACAGCATTGTTTTGGGAAGGAGACATTGTCTGTGGAAAATCAGTGTTTACATTTTACATTTGTTTGTACCGTAGAATCGGAACCAGCTCATAACTGATCTTCAAACAAGTTTTCAGAGGCAGTAAATTGCATGGAAAGAGATTTACTATCTTTGTTCTGCAGAGTTGCTAGAGGATTTTAACCACATGCCTTTGGGTTGGCAGAATTATCCCCTTACCTTAAGTCACCAGAGCTCCCTGTTACATGTGAAAATATTAGTATTTTAACAGTGAACATAGAGTAGCATGGAGGAGAGGAAAAGAAGCAAATTCTCATTAGGGACAATTAATATATGTCTCAAGTATTTCAGAGTTAAAAAACCATTCTAAAACTTAGGGTTTGAAACATCAGTCTTTTTTTTTTTTTTTCATCAGTCATTTTTATTGCTTATGATTGTGTGGGTCAGAAATTATCTCAGGGCTTCATGATAAACTTTAAGTGGTATTAGCCAAAGTAACTTGTCTGGGCATAAATAACCCAAGCAACACTTCCTTCATACATCTGGAACTTTGCTGCTGACTAACTTCTGGAAGGCTATTTTCCCCTCTGTGTGATGTTTCCCTCATAGAGATTCTTTTCTAGCAGATCTGCTCTTAAGCAGCTTCTCTAGCTTCATAGCCGGATTCTGCAAGGGAAAGCAAAAGTTCTAAGGCCTCATAAATCCTGGACATGGAAGTCTCATAAATTATTCCTAACTACTTATTAGTGAAAGCAAGTCACATGGCTGGCTCATAGTCAAAAGGTGAAGGAAATAGATTCCTTTTTTTTTTTTAATGAAAGATGTGACAGAAATGTATTGCAGAGGGTCATGGATCCAGGGAGACAAAATTTATTTGGAACTGTGGTTTTTTTTAATAACAACATGAATTTATTATATAGAATTTTGAGAACAAATTATATTTGAAAATCTAGATAGCAAGTAATTGAAAAGATCATGGTTTGGGTCGGGTGCACCTTAGCCTTCAAACTGATACCATTGCTCTTCAGCACTTTGGAGAGGTCACTGAAAATAGACTGATACAATGCAATATATCTTGATTTTTTGAGCTGCTGCTACCATGGGTGTTGACGGTGGATCCAAGCAAGACAAAGTAATTTACAATTTCTGTCTTTTCTCTATCATAATGTTGTCTGTTCCATTGGTGAAGATTTTTGTTTACTTGATGTTGAGATGTAATCCATATTGAGGATTGTAGTCTTAGATCCTCTACAGCAAGCCATATGAGGCCAAGTTTTAGTATTCCTGCCTCCAGGGAACACCCTGCCTGCACCTCTTTCAAAATATATTTGTTTGTGCTTTTGGAAGTATTCAGTATTCATCTCCAACATCGCAACTCACAGGCATAGATTTTTTTCTGGAACTGTTTTTTAACAATAGTAAAATGAGCAAAGGCACTAAGAAAGAAAATGTTAGATATGTCTTAGTAAGGATTTTAAGTTCTTGGTATCTACAGGCAGTCTAGTCACAGAGCTGTGCTATCCATAGGGCATAGTATTGCTGACTCAAAAGCCGTGCTTTTCCAGCTTTTCTAATCCACCAGCCACACTCCAAGAAAGAAAGGTGGGAAATTTCCTTCCATGTGACCTTTGGAGAAGATGTTCGCAGTATTATGAATAAGGAATAACATTTTCCGTGTCTTTAACATACTACTCGATGCTTATTGACTATTAAATGTTGCTGTTGTTAGACGCTATCAAGGTGACCACTACTCATAACTATCCAATGAACAACAGATTTGAATCTTATCCTCTCCTATGCCATCCTCCTCATTGCTGATATATTGAGTCTATTGTTACAATCACTGTGTCAATCCATCTCTTGAGGACCTTCCTCTCTTTTGCTGACCTTCCACCTTTCTAAGCTTGATGTCCTTTTCTGAGGGCTGGCCTCCTCCTAACAGCATGCACAAAATTTTTGGGATAAAGTTTCATCATCCTTTATTTTTTTCATTTTTTATAAGACAAAGGCAGATTTATTCAATGTTTATTTATAGGACCTAGAAAATATTAAGGAGCTATGATGGCTAAACCTATTACACTGCTAACTAAAATCTGCCAACAGCTCTGTAGGAGAAAGATGGGCATTCTCTTCTCATTAAGATTTACAGTCTCAGAAACCCAGTGGAGAGTCACTCTAACTTTATATCAACTCAGTAATAGTATGTTGAGCATACATTAGGCACTTACATATTCACATATTTAGTTATATGTTCATGACATAAGGATAAGGCAGGGTACAGTCTGTTGTTTATGGGATCACAATGTATTGGAATCCACTTAGTGACATCTTACAACATGATCATGAACAGGTTAATAACAGGTTGCAAATTCTAAATTAAGACAATGTCTGAGAAGATAAAGGAAAGTAAATCACCTACTGAAGACTAGACACATTAGTTTGATTAAGGAGAAAGTTAATATGCTATAAGGAAGAGGGTAATATAACATGAGTGACAAAGTTACTGAGAGGTACAAAAGAGTAAAAGATAAGAAAGTAGATACTATTACATACATAGGGAGCCCTGGTGGTTTACTAGTAAAAGTTGCGCTGCCAAGCCAAAGGCAGGCAGTTTGAATCTGCCAACTACTCTGTGGAAGAAAAATGGGCACCTCCTGTGTGATTTACAGTCTGTGAAGAGGTGCTGGAGGGTCAGCTATAAGACGATTCCAACTGGACAGCACACAGCAAGAACAATGACATTTATTGTTCTGGAAAAAAAAGTATAATAAATGGTATCTGAGTAGTTATATCGATACATATGTATCAGGCTGAGTTCTCGATAGAGAAGTAAAACCAATGAAATATATTTCTTCTGTATATGTTTATGTAATCCTCAAGGAGATAGAATGGCATAAGTGGCTGTAACAATGTGTTCAAGCAAAACAGCAGTTGTGAGGATGGTACAGGACTGGATTACGTTTGTGTTATTGTACTTGGAGTTACTGAGTTGCAGGTTACTTGACAGCACCTAACAGTAACAGTGACAAGTAACACCAAGGAGGAATGTACTCATCAGTACAACAAGCCATATCAAAACAAAAGGGGTGTATTTAGCCCAAAACATAGAACATTGAAAGAGTGAGTAAAGAACACCAAATGGAAATGAGGAACCTAGGGAGGAGGTGAGAAGGATGCTATTACATTGTGGGGATTTTAGTCAGTGCCATGAAATAAAATGTATATAAATTGTTGAATGAAAACCAAATGTACTCTGTAAACTTTCACTCAAAATACAGTTTAAAAAATAATAGTACCTACTGTATGCAGAACAGATTATCTGAGAGGCTGGGCTCTATGAGGAGAAGTGTGGCGTCAGGATTGGTGGAAGATCTATAAACAATCTGCGTTATGCAGATGACACAACCCTGCTTGCCGAAACTGAGGAGGACCTGAAATGCTTACTGCAGAGGGTCAAGGACAGCAGCCTTCAATATGGATTGAGGCTCAATGTCAAGAAGACAAAGATCCTCACCACTGGACCAGTTGGCAACATCAGGATGGTTGGTGAAGAGATTGAGATTGTTAACAACTTCAGTCTGCTTGGCTCTACGGTCAACACTCTTGGCACCAGTAGCCAGGAAATCAAAAAACGTATTGCAATGGGAAAGTCTGCTGTTAGGGACCTCTCCAGGGTACTGAGGAGCAGTGCTGTCATTCTGGAGACTAGGGTGCGTCTGATACAGGCTGTGTTCTTTGCAATCACTTGTTATGCATCAGAGAGCTGGACAGTGACTAAGGAGGATAGAAGGAGAATTGATGCCTTTGAGCTGTGGTGCTGGAGAAGAGTATTGAATGTACGCTTGACTGCCAAAAAACAGATTCGTCGTGAAGAGGGTTAAACCAGGCTGCTCTTTGGAGGCAAGGATTCTGAGGCTTCGTCTGACATACTTTGGACGTGTTGTAAGGAGGAAGAGATCCTTGGAGAGGGACAGCGCAGAAGGGGGAGACCCTCTATGAGGTAGATTGATTCAGTGACTGGGGTAATCGGGATGGGTGTCTCGGAGGCAGTGAGATTAGCACAGGATAGAGCAGGATTTAGGGCTGTTGTACATAGGGTCGCTATGAGCCACAAGCGACTCGACGGCACATAACAACAACAACAACAACTTCAAAGATTATTTAGTGACTAGATGTTCAAGTGAAAGTATTTGTAAATGGTAGAACCCTATGCAAATACGATTCATAAGTGAGCTATTGAAGTATTGGATTAGTGTTTGCAATAAACATTTAATATTAATAAAATATAAAATAAGAGAAGAGAGCAGTGTAACTAGAGTACTGGAAATAAGAAAACTAGAACACAAAGATAATATGTATATGCATTATGGAAAGTGTAAAAAATTTAAAAATTGTTTAGTTGAATATTGTTTCTTTATCAGTGAAATAACTACATAGAATTTTAGTAATTATATAGCAGTATTTCAAATTTTTGTTCTAATCCTAATCATTTTTGTTATAATATTAATGTTAAATTCTCCTAAAATCATTTTTATAGAATAATATTACAAAATAATGTTTTTCTTGACAAATCTTTATCCAGTACTGTCTTGACAGCAGCTTGGAACCATTGATTTTTCTTTTTTATTTAAGTTTTATTGTTGTTTTACACACACACGCGCGCACACACACCTCCAAACATTTGCCATTTTAACTATATTTATATATGTATATAAATACATGCATCCTCAGTGGCAGTCAAATTCACCATGTTACACTACCATTATCACTATCCATTCTCAAACATTTTTCATATATCCCTATGCAGCATTCTAGTCTACTATTTTAGATTTTTGTAAGGTGAGCTAAATTTAATAACATCTAACAAAAAGAAAACTCTACTTTTAAAATAGTAACTCCATTTATCTCCCTCCTCTCAATCTTTGGTAAACAATAAATAAATTTTTTCTTTTTGATTTTACCTATTATAGCAGTATGTGTCCCCTTGTGTCTGATGTATTTCAATCATCATAATGTTTTCAGGGTTTACTAATGTCAAAGAGGTTCATTTTTCTTTATGGCTTAGTATTATTACATTGTGCAGACATGCCACATTATATTTATCCAATTCATTTGTGTTTCTGAATCAACATACCATGTCATATACTTTTATTCTATTCAACCTAAGATTATTTATTATATATTTTCTATTAAATTATCTTCAGTTTATGCTCAAGAAAGTTTGTATCCGTTAATAAATTTTAACAATGGAATAGTAACTACTTCAAAATGGATTCTCTCAGTTAGTACTTAAAACATTTTTTTAAATATGAGTTTCCACCTAATAACTGCTTGCCTTGTGTTAGATACAGTCACATTTTGGAACTAGTCTTTATAACAGCTTTATACAAATCACAGTTTTTACAGATAAAAAAATGTCCTTTGGAGGTTGTCCTACTTGGTCAAGTAAATATGGCTCTATAAGGTTTACATGGGATTTAGGTATATGCATTCCTGATACAAGCTTTTTAAAGTAGGAAGGGATCCTTCTAGAAACACATTAATGTATATATTCCATAATTGCTGAAGTGAATGCTACATGTATTACTAACTCTCCTCCCACCCCCAGATTGTTTCTTTCTTACACTGTTTGTCTGATTTTATCTTGTTACCAAGCCATGCCATTCTACTGTTTTAAAAATTATTTCCATATTCTTCTTTGCTTTACTGTTTCTGATACTCATGATTCTCCATCCATATTATTATAGAATAAATAGTATCTAGAATTCCTTTCTTTATGCTTTTCCTAATTTGTCAAATCTCCAGAGTTCTTTTTCTAAAAGAAAAAAAAGGTTTTTTAGGGGTTTCCTTTCATTTTTTAAAAAAATTTATTATTAGTTTCAATGAAAATTTACAGAGACTTTGGATTTCCATTCATTCATTGTTGCAATTTTCTCCCCTCCCAACCCTCCCTCCCCCCACACACTATCCTCTTGGAAAAGTAAAAGTAAAATTCTTTCATTACTTTCAGTGCTTAGTGGAGTCTTAGAGAACATGATAAAAGCTATGGATTGTCTCTCAAAAGAAGCAGTTATTCTGTGTGTTTAACTTTTGCTTATACTTTCAAGAGAGGGAGGTCTGCAGGCCTTATCAGGTTCATCTGTTGACTCCTCAGTTGAGATCTTTTGTTCTGAAGCAAAGATCAAATTGTATAATTTAAATTTAAATTATAATTTAAATTTTACTTTAACCTTTAAAAAAATTCCATTCTAGCTACCTATAATATGAATTTCAAAGGCCTATGAATTTCAGAATCCTTCACAATTGTAATGTGTTTTCTGTGGTTTTCCTTTTAGCCTTAGTATACATATACCTTATTCCTTAATCACACCATATTAGGAATTCTGGGGGAAATACATAAACTCACACACATGCCCTTATGCTTTTGGTTTTCTTAGATTCTGTTTCTGAAATGTCTGTCTCAGTTGTTTATTTTTTCCATTAAGGACAAACTGGCATTTCAAACTTCATTACAGGTATACATAATATCTTCTTCCTGTGGGCTTTTGTAAAATTTTACATACAAATCTAGGATTTTTTTTATTGTGGAATATATTGATACTTTATTAGTTTTATTGCAGATAGATGCATTTAGTTAAACTGCAAATTACAATTCTGTTTAAGTCAGAGAGAAAACTCCGCTACATAGGATTTCTGAGGTTTGGTACAGTAGTTTTTCACATTGAAACATAATACTTATTTTTGTTGATTGAGAGAGTCTTAAGAACTCTAGTTTTTTTCCCAAGCTACATCTCGAGAACAATGAAAATAAACCCATTTTACCTGCGAACTATTATTTTTTTAATTTTATTTATAGTATTACATGGCACTCTTGGGCATTTGACCTATATGTATAATTATTACCCAAATAATAATGAGGGTTTTTTTTGTTTTGCTTTGTTTTAGGTAGCCGTCTTTTAACTGGTTCTAGCTGTTTGCAGCTTTGGTCCACCGTGACTTTTAAGAAGCCATATCAAGATGAAAATCCAGATCAGACAGATCTTAACTTGGGGGACTGGATATGTATCTGGCATTGCAAGTAAGCAGTTAATTAAGAATAATAAAATGAAAAGCCAATTGTATGAAATGGTATCTAATTATAAGTGTATTTTAGTGTGTATAAAACCACACTAATGTAAAATATACTTAGTTTTATTTTCAAATACTCTTTTTCTTTTATACAGAGGTTTCACTGTTATGTTTTGCAGCCTTTCCCAAGTTCTACACATTTCATGTTTCTACTCATTTATATGCCAGAGAATTGTGATTTAAAGTAACTTAGGAAAAATACAAAACGTGTGTGAGATTTGCTTGAAGATTATTAATAGAAACTTGTTGGGTTATACAAAACGAAACAAAGACATCTTCTATACTTTTGAATGAAGCCTTTCTATTGTACAGAAGTCTCTTTTCCCCAAATTGATATATACCTTGAGGCTTTTATCAATCTGTAATTAAAAAATCCTTGTAAACTTAATTTTAAAATCCACTGGACTTTTTTGTTATTGAGTATATTTCTAAGGTTCGTTTAGAATGTTAAATCAGAAGATTATGAAAGATGGTAAAATGATACACCGCAGAGCAAAATGAATTCTGAAGTTACAGGTGTTCAATGAATATGTTGATAAAATAACGAACAGATTAGAGTTCAGAATTAGAAACAATCACAGACTTCTTTTTCTGGACTATTGTCATGCAAATAATACCTAATATTTCTTTTAGACAGTTCTTTCCCTCATCTATTTAAATGCAGTGTTCATTATTTATCTCCTCATTTCTTAGTTTTCCCCTAACCCGCATCTCAGCCCTATTTCATAACTTACTTCATTATGTAGTATTTGACCTTTTGTGAAAGAAAAAACGGTTATTTATTCAATAGGAGAGCTGGCCCTTTATATTAAAAGGAAAACTACCTGTTTCATTACTGGAGAGAGAAATGAAGTTAGAGTTTATTTCATACTTGTCTCCAGAATAAATTTTGGAGGAAAATGTATGCAATTTCTATTCAATGAAACTCCATATATTAGATTAAAATATTTCTCAACTTAAAATGACCAAAACCCAATTTTAAATCTCAAGTTGCAGTACTAAGAGATACCATAGGCAAAATCTTAAATGGTTCAGGAAGATTTAAAAGAAAATGAAGGCAATACACAGAGTCACTATACCAAAAGCCATGTTTCAGGAAGTAACATACATACAAGCCAAAAGCTAATGGTACTGAAGGGAGAAGTTCAAGTTACACTGAAGGCATTGGCAAAAAACAAGGCCCCAGGAATCGATAGGCTGCCAGTTGGCATGTTTCATCTAACAGATGCATCCCTGGACATGCTCACCAGTGTGTGCCAGGAAATTTAGAGGATAGCTGCTTGACCAACTGACTAGAAGAGATCATTATTTAGTCTCGTTCTTAAGAAAGTTGATTCAAAAGGATGAGGAAATTATTAAACAAAATAATACCACATGCAAGCCAAATATTGCTGAAAATCATCCCAAAATGACTAGAACAGTACATAAACACTGAACTGCTAGTTCAGTCTGGGCTTAGAAGAGACTGTCACCATGGCTATCACTGCTGATTTATCACAGCATAATTTAAAAGTAAGAGAGAGATATGTGTCATGGTTGCATCTTCTCTTTATTCAGTCATTATGCTGAGCAAATTATTTGAGATGCTGGACTTGGTGAAGAAGTAGGTGGCATCAGGATTAGAGGAAGACTCATCAATCACCTGTATTATGCAGATAACACAACTTTATTAAGAATGAGAATCTGAAGCATTTACTGCAGAAGATCAAAGATTACGGCCTTCAATATAGACTGCGTCTCAGTGTAAAGAAACAAAACAAAAAACACAACACAAAAATTCTTACCACTGGACCAATAGGCATTATCATAGTAGATAGAGAAATTGTCAACACCTTCACCTTACTTGTATCCACAATACAGTAATCAAGAGATCAGGAGATGTATTGCATTAGGAAAGTCTGCAGTCAAGAACTGAGGAGCAGTGGTGTCAGTTTGAAGACTTCTGTGCCTGTTTCAAGCCATCATTTTTCTGATCATTAGCAATAAATCTGAAAGTTGGACAGTGAATGGCAGAAGAAAAATTGATACCTTTGAGCTGTGGTGTTGGAAAAGAATACTGAATGTCCCATTGATTACAAAAGAACAGATATGTCTTAGGTAAAGTGCAGCCAGAGTGCTCTCTGAAGGCAAAGATGACAAAGCTTTGTCTCACATACTTTGGGTTTGTTGCTGGGAGAGGTTATTCCTTGGCAAGAGGCATCATATTTGGAAAAGTGGTGGGTCAGTGAAAGGAGGAAGACTCTCCGTGATGTGAATTGACAAAGTGACTGCAGCAACAGGCTCAAGTATGTCAGATATTGAGGATGGTAAAGGAAAGGATCGGACTCAGATCTGTTGTGATAGGGTTGCTACGGGTTATACTGACTCAGTGGCACCTAACAACAAGCTGAGGATGCTCTGGTGGAGAAGAGTATTGAATATGAATTGTAATCAACTCTACCGTACTTAACAACAACAACATTGTAAATGATACTATTTTCTTAGTTTCCTTATCTGTGTTTTCTTTGAAGGAATGGGAATCAAATCCTCTTTGAGAAAAAGGCACCTATTATTATGTGAAGCTAAAGCTACTCTTCACCCACATAAAGTCTTTTAAGTTAGGAAAGGGAGAATTTTTTTTTAATTGCTGGCTTATTTTAAAATATATGTTTGAACGTAATAATCTAGAACTCTTAGAAAAATCAGATTTTTTTTTCTTAAACAATTCTTTCTCTAGGATTCTAAGGATCTTGTGGTGGTGGTTCTTTGTTTTGTTTATGTGGTGAATTATCATCTTTACAAACATGTTATGAATCCCACTTGGTCAAATTATTTCCTTTTTATGTACTGTTGGATACTATTGGCCAAGATTTTATTAAGGATATTTGCATCTATGTTCATGAGAGATATTGGCCAATAGTTTTCTGTTCAGTGCTGTGTTTACCTTACTTTGGTATCAGGGATATATATGTGCACTTCATAAAATGAGCCTGGGAGTACTGCATCTTTTTCTGTTTTCTGAAATACTTTATGTAGAATTGGTCACAGCTCTTCTCTGAATATTTAATAAAATTCACTAGTAAGACCACTTGGTCCAGGGCTTTTTTGTTGTTGTTGGAAGTTGTTTTATGACCTGTTCAATTTCTTCTTTTGTAATGGGTCTATTCAAGTATTCTATTTCAGTCTGTATCAGTTTGTGGGTGGGGTTGTAGAGAGAGTGGAACTCTTGCTCATTGTTGGTGGGAATGTATATTCCTCTATAGAAAGCGATCTGGCACATTCTCAAATAGTTTAAAATAGAAGTACTATTTGACCCAACAATTCCACTACTGGGAATACACCCTAAAGAAACCAGAGCTACAACTCAAATAGATGTATGCACACCATGTTTATTGCTGCATTATTCATATTAGCAAAGAGATGAAAGGAACCCAAATGGCCCTCAACAAATGAATGGATAGAAAAACTATAGTACATTTACATAATGGAATATTACACAGCATTGAAAAACATGAACTTGTAAAACTTTATACAACATAGAGGATCCTAAACAACATTATTCTGAGTAAAATATCTTGGTCACCAAAGGACAGGCACTGTATAACTACTGCTATAAAATAAGACAGACATGTGGGGCTTGGGCAGAAAATGGGGGAAAGGTGGACAGATAATGAACACTGCATTGTATCGGATGAGGGCCCTGAAGATCAGCCCGAAAGGAATATATGATTGATTAGGCATTAATTGTATGACAACACTCTGGAACAAGGATGCATTGTGAAGTGGGTTGGGGGATATGTGGGAAGAAAATGCTCAATGATGAAAAAATAATATTTTAAAAAGAATCTAAGATAACTTAAGCTTTAAAAATTTTTGAAGTGGATTTTATGGATCTTTAAACAAAAAATGCTTTTATCATTAAAATGTATCCTAGAGAGAGCTCTAGAGAAAGAGAGCTCTGGATAGAAAATTATGCAACCAAGCCAAAGGTGAGTGATTATAATCTCCGGCCCTCTGGCCTGGTTTAAATTGGTTTCTGTCAAACATTGTTCTAAGTGGTATAGCACTGGTCTGTGTGCATTGCTGTACAGAAGTAACTCGTGGTTGCTGTGATGCTAAACACTGTGACACTAATGTGCCAAATGAGATAATGGTTACACATGGTGGACGGTGTTTGGTGGAGCTTCCTGATTTAAACAAGCTTGGAAGCAGGAGTGGCATGCACTACCGAAATGGCTTGCCTCTGGAAACTCTAGGAACATGGAGAAACAACCTAGGTTATACAAGTGTTCAGGTCTTTTGTTCATAGGGTCCGCTATGAGTCATCCACAACTCGACAGCACTTAATAACTTTTTCTTAGTGAAATAAACATAGAAAAGAGTGCAGAAGTTGTATTATCACAAAATATTCTGTTTAAAGAAAACTGCTGAAGTATAATTTAGTGAAATAATACTGCTTTTTCTCATTTAAGTTCTTTTTATCTATTTACAGAACTGCTTCCCAAGTACATTTAATGAAGTTTTCACCAGATGGAGAATTTTTTGCCACTGCTGGGAAGGTAAATTATAAAACTACTGCTACTAAATTGTATGTTTATGAACTATACATATTTATTTCATTTGTATTAATGTTTTTATGAAACATACATATTCATTTATATTTTGAAACTTCAAAAATATTAGCTGGCTTTATTCCTTTATTGAAATTCTCTTTTCTATTAAGAGTCTTATAATAGCAAAATTAGTTAATTATGTTAAAACACAGTATTTTGTAATTGAACTTGCATAGAGCGTATGTTGTTGTTGTTAGGTGCCGTTGAGTTGAGTACACTCATGGCGACCCTGTGAACTGTGTTCTGTCCTGCACCATCCTCATTTCCTGACGTTCAGGAGAGCCTATTGCAGCATTCACTATGTCAGTCTACGTAGTTGCGGGTCTTCCTCTCCTTCATGGACCCTCCAGCCTTCCCATAGATATATTTGATAAAATTATTTACCTTATTTGGTCTGTGGTTTTTCATGTGTAACATTACAATAATTACCTATATCATGTTGTTGTTGTGTGCTGTCCAGTTGGAACCAGCATACCTGACCCTCCAGTGAGTTTTCAGAGACATTGAATCAAAAGGGAGAAGATTACCCATCCTTCTGAGAAGCAGCTGGTGAATTGGAATTATATGTCTTTGGGTTTACAGCACAGCTTCTTACAATTAGGCCACCATTGCTCATAGATTATTAAATCATAGAATTAAAGTTACTGGTTTAGTTTCTTGAATCTACTAAACAGCCAATAAAAGGTATTATTTATATTATTTTTAAGCTGACAGCTGTGGTTGATTAAGGCATATTTAAAATAATAGTACAGAATTTTTAGATGGACATTTATATGAATTTAGTACGAGTACTTTGTTATTATTTGTTTTCAGAACAATTAACTTCTTTAAGTTGTTTTTTTTTTAATGGTATACAGAGCACTTCAACCTCTAATAGTTTGAAATTATTGTTCTCATGGCTTAAACCCTTGAAAAGTAAATGGTATGGGGTCTTCTAAACTATCAGGGACATTTTTAGTAAGAAATAAGTAAAGTGGTTTTGATTGACTTTACAGATGGAAATTCAGTTCTTGCTAAAGAACAGCAACTAAGAGAGTTTTGTCTCCCTCATTTTTCTGTATTTCTTAAATTAAAAGGTGCAAATTTTATTTTACTTAAAATATTTTATGTAATCTAATTTAACTAGGAATCCTGAGTAATGCAAATGCTTAAGTAATCAACTTCCACTAAGCTAATAGTTGTTTGTTCAAGCCCAACTTAAAGAGCTCCAGAAGAAGGACCTAGTGATCTGCTTTCAAAAGGCCCAACTTCATTGCCATCAAGTTGATTCTGAATAAATGAGAACCTATAGGACAAAATAGACTGTCCCATAAGGTTGCTGATGTTTTGAAATCAGAATTAAATTACTTTTAAATTATCCTGTTCCTCCTCCCATTCCTAAATTTCTATGAGTTGGGATTGGAGGAATCTTACTTCTTCTGCTTTTTGGCTTAAACTGTGTTTTGGCTTTGACTTGAATTTTATTCCCTTTACTGTTTTTTATGATGCATTTCTGGTTTTTTCCCCCTTAGGATGACTGCCTTTTAAAAGTATGGTATAATGTTGAAAATTGGCGGACAGGTGTTACCTCTCCAGATGGAAGTTCAGAAAATCAATCCCACGGAGAAATTGACTTTTCATTTGTGTATCTCGCCCACCCTCGAGCTGTAAATGGATTTTCCTGGCGTAAGACAAGCAAATACATGCCTCGGTGAGTGGATTAGTCATCATTGTGATTTTGACTGGATTTGGGTTTTGGGGGGTTTTTTGTTTTTTTTTAAGTCCATAGCTGTGGCTTCTGACACTGTGAAAATTTGAATGATACAAGATAGCTAACTTCCTGGCCACAGGCCTCCAGCCATCAGTCAGTAATAATCACCTCTTGAGACAAGAACCTTATAAAATTAGTTTAAGCTCAGATAACTCTTTGCCATTGAATTGGAAACGACCCGTGTTGGACAGTGTTTGGAGGAGCTCCCAGATTAAGACAGCTTTGGAAGCAGTAGTGGCATCCACTTCCTAAATAACATGCCTCTGGAAACTCTCTGAACTTGGCAAAATGACCATAGTTACAGAACGGTTCAGGTCTATTCATAGGGTTTCTGTGTGTCGTGCTCAACTCGACGGCAGTCAACGACTATGGTACAGAGGTAGGACAGGATTCAGATCTGTTGTTCATAGGGATACTATGAGTTGTACTTAACTCACCAGCACCTACAAACAACAACATCGCTGACTCTACTGTTGATTTTTGGAGTCTGTAATTAGCACATGAGGAGATTGTGCATCTTTCTTTCTTGGAGCTGCTGGTGGATTCAGACAAAGGGATACTACCTGTGGGTTAGCAGTGCAACTCCTTGCATACTAACTGCTCCACCAGAGCATCCCGCATCAGCAGCGACATCATTTTTTTGTGTGTTTTTCTCCCCATCTAATTCTTTGCACTTTTCAAGTTGCAGATTGAATGGACTTTTTAAAATTTCACTATCTCATCTTGTGATTTCTAGTGTGTGTCTGTCTTATCTTGATTTCTCTCTTTTTTAACAACTTTATTGAGAAGATGTAACATAAGCCCAAAACATTTATTTGACAGTATTTAATATCTTTGAAGAAAAGGGAAGGGTCAATATTTTGCATTATCGTGTCCTAAAGTAGGTAATCGTTTTCAACAGATGTTGTTGTAGTTATATGCCATCGAATCACTTGGGACTCATAGCATCCCTATATACAATAGCTCTGAAGCCTACCCTATCCTGAGCCAGTCTCACTGACTCTGGCACACCCACTCACCTTACCCCAGTTACGGTGTCAGTCCATCTCATCTGGAATCTTCCTCTCCTGTGCTGCCCCTCCACCCTTCCAAGCATGTGTCTTTCTCTAAGGACTGACTGATCATGTACATCCATGTGAATACACATGTATATCCACAAAAGCCTGTACAGAATTTTGTGCTTTGTTTCTTTCCTGTATTCCTTGACTTAATAGCATATTGAATTTTTATCTGTATTCAAGTAAGTTACAAAAAATTTTCCCTAACCTCAATAGAGGCAAAAATTTATTTTTATTCCTTCTGATCATCTTCAATTTAGCTGTGTCTTGTAAACAAAATAGAATTTTTCTTTCTTTGCATTGTTTCAGGAATTTTGTCTCCTGAAACATTCTAGATTGACCTGAGAAGTGTACTTGCATAATTTTCGTTTGTTTTTGCTCTTTTGAGCCAGCAGAAAATAACTTAGATGTCAAAATCTGTTTTCTGGTGCCAGTCTGTTTTCTGTTCTACCTCAGCCTCCACTCCAACAAAGCATAGGAACAGTTCATACTGTGGAAATAGTAACATCTTAGAAGAATGTGTTAAAGTGTTTAGACTAAGAGAAAGTGATTCAGACAATCTTTGAAGTAAAAGCACCTTCACCTTTCTTCACTTTAAGAACTATTACTCTGATACTTCTAATTCTAAAACCAGTGCTTATATGTGTGTCTGCCTGTTTTGAGTAGGATATATTTTGGCATATGTTAAATTTCCTTTTGAAAGTTATGAATGACCTCAGTAAAGGTAGTTGCTGTCACATGCTGTGAGCCTTTTTTTAAAGAAGAAAGTCATTTGCAAATTGAATATTTTAGAAATATCTGAGGTTTGCATGATTTCTATTAGTATATCTTAAGTGTTTTCATCCCTAGATATTCTAGCTACTGGATTATGAAAAAGACTGGCTTATGAAGTATTGTGGCTTTTGAAAGAGGGCAATTATCTACTTCTAACCTGCTGCACTCAGTCTCTGCAGTGTGAGAGAAAGCTGAAGTAGCTGCTTAAAAGTAGGGCATTAGAGATGCATAATCAGAGCAATAAGAACAGTAACATCAAAGAGGTACTCAGGCCTTAGAACAATCAGTCATACAAGATTAAAAGGATAGCAATAACCAAGAGTAATTCCCAGAGACAAGAAAGGATGAAAGAGAAGGATTAATGGAAGTAAAGATTAAAGGGAGGAACTGAGAAGAGGTTTATTATACTGTAGAGATTAATGTTTTAAAACAAAATGTGTTTAAATATTTAAATTTGTTCTGTAAATGTTCACTCAGTATTTTTTTATTTTTAAAGTTACAGTGATTGCAGTGTTAGTCATCTACCTTCTTATGTCTTTTATAAGCCTATTTAGTCTACAATTACTAATTGATGCCGTAGACCTTGCTTGCACTTTTCGTACTCATTTTCTTTGCTGTATTTCCTTTCTTTTTCTACTTAATTTATTTTTAAGATCATTGCTACTACTTGTGTATATGAGTGTACTAGAGAAGAAGCAAGGCTAGGACAGTGTTAGAGGAATAATAGAAAGAAAAGGAAAGAGAGGAAACAAGTAGATAGGGTGGAGGGGAAAACACGGTTAAGTAAAGGAACGGGAAGCAAAAACAGAAAAGGAGATAGAGAGAAAGAAAAGTGAACAAAAGGAAAATGTATGTACCCTTCTCTACTTAAGGATATGGAGAGAGGGTCACCAACTCCTTTTGGATTTACTATCTCTGAAAACCTACAGGAGAATCAACTATGTGTCAATGCCAACTTGACAGTACATGACAAAACAACATAGTTTCTTAGTGACCATGTGCCTTTATAGTTGTTGTTATGTGATGTCAAGTTGCCTGTGACTAATAGTGACCCTATGCACAACACCTCTTAACCCCTCCCTATCCTGACCCAGTTGCACTGTCTCCAACACACCTACCCCCATTACCCCAGTTACTTTGTCAATCCATCTCATTCAAGGTCTTTACCTATTGAGCTCCCAAATACTCAAAGTATATGAGATGAAGCTTCAGGATCCTTACCTCTAAGGAGAAACTTGGTTTCACCCTCTCAAGGACATGCCTGTTTGTTGTCTTGGCAGTTCATGGAATGTGCAACACTCTTCTCCAGTACCAGAACATAGAGGCATCATTCTTCTTCTGTCATCCTTAGTTATTGTGCAGCTCTCTGATGCATAACAAATAATTGCAGAAACCATCGCCTGGATCAAGCGCACCTTAGCCTCCAGATACCTTAGCTCCTTAGCACTCTGGAGAGATCTCTGACAGCACATTTCCCAGTGCAATTTGTCTTTGGATTTCCTGAGTGCTGGTGTCAAGAGTGTTGATTAGGGAACCAAGTAAGCTGAAATTGTTAACAGTCTCAGTCTCCTCTCCATCTGTCATGGTGCTGCCAGTTGGACCAGTAGTAAGAAACTTTATCTTCTTGATATTGACCTTCAATCCATATTGAAACTGTAGTTTTGACCTTCTGTAGCAAACACTTCAGGCCCCCTCATTTTCAGCAAGCAAGGTTATGTCATTTGCATAACACAAGTTATTGATGAGTCTTCCTCCATTACACTCCTTTATAAAGCCCAGTCTTCTGAATGATCTGTTCCTCACATAGATTGAAAAGGTATGGAGACAAGACAAATCCCTGATGTACTCTTTTCCCAACTTTGAACCATGCAGTGTTTCCTTGTTTTGTTCTGATGATTGCTGCCTAATTGCTTTAGGTTATGAATAAGCACAATCTGGTGTTCTGGAATTTTTGTTGTTCTCAAATTTAGTCACTGTTTTCTGTGATCCACACAGTCAAATGCCTTTGCATAATCAATGAAACACAGATATTCTTCTGGTATTCTGTGTTCTCAGCCCAGATTCATCTGACATTTGGTGTCCCTAGTGCCACAGCCTCTTGTAAACCCAGCTTTTATTTCTGATAGTTCTCTGTTGATGTACTGTTCCAATTGTTTTTGGACATTTTTCAGCAGAATTTTGCTTGCATGTGATATTCGTGATATTGTTAAGATAATTTCCACACTCGGTTGAATCACCTTTTTTTAGTATAGGAATGAATATTGATCTTTTCCAGTAAGTTAGCCATAACCTAATGAACACATCCAGGGCAGCATCTGTTTGTTATACTATGTCACTTGATATTCCATCAATTTTAGAAGCTTTGTTTTTTTGTCAGTTCCTTCAGAGCAGCTTGAATTTCCTCTTTCATCACCATTGTCTCCTGTTCATATGTAGTTTCATTAGACTCTTCATTGTCATCTAGTCTTTTTTTGGTATACTGACTCTGAGTACTCCTTCCGTTTTATTTTGATATTTTCTGGATCATTCAATATTCTGCCCGTAGCATCCTTAAGTACTGCTTTATTTTGTGTTGTGTACCGTTGAGTCAGAACTGACCCATAGTTGACCATCCAGCAGGTTTTCAGAGGCAGTTAATCACCCAGGAGGGTATTGCCCACCTTCTCCCATGTGGCAGCTGGTGGCCTCAAACTGCATGCCTTTGAGATTGCAGCACAACTTCTTGCCACTAGGCCACCAGAGCTCCCTGCAAGTATTACAGTACAAAGTATAAATAAAAGCATTAGAAAAGAATTAAAATAGTCATCCGCCCAGTGGTTAAGAGCTGAGCTGCTTACCCAAATGTCAGAAGTTTGAGCCTACTAGTGGTTCCTTAGGAGAAAGATGCCACAGTTTTATTCTGTAAAGATTCCAGTCTTTAGAACCATGGTATCAAGATACAGCTAAATCAGTTTGCATACAGTTTTGAAAGACAAATATTTTATCTTCTACTTTTGTGAGTAGTGACTCACTTCTTAAAAGGTGGAACTGTAAAACAAATAAGAATGAAGAAAAAAGACAAAGGCATATGGAAACAGATAGTCCAAAGGACTAATGGGCCATTTGAACCTCAGCCTACTTGAACCTGTGACCAGAAGAACTAGATAGTAACAAAGTATCACTACTAACCTTTCTGAAAGGAAATACAATAGGAGGTCCTAGATGGAGTGGGGGTAAAACATAGAACAACACTCTAAATATTGAAAATGACCATGCTTGCTGATCTGGTAGAGATAAGTAGAACCTCTGAGACTATGGCATTTAGTCACACTCCATGCCTGTAAAGAACTCCTCTCCATTACTCAACTTTCAGCCACATAATAGATAGGCTTTTAAGATGAACAGTAGCCCTGGAGAGGTACTTACTCCTTAGAACATTCAACTATTAGAGATCAGAAGAACAGAATTTGCTCAAGTAAAGCCTGGACTTGTACTTTCCTGCCCTATTGTTGGTACCATAATTTTGACTCTGTGAGTCAGCAATAAATAATGAACCTCCTGCTGCTGGTGTGGCTCTAAAAGCACCGCAAGGCTGGTCTACAGGCTCTTTACTTGCATTCTGCTCTGGGACCATAAGAGCCTGTGCTATTCTTACTCCTTCTGGCCCTTTCAAAGAGACACCCCCTGTGCCCAATTTTCTCCTCTTTAGACAAAAGGATAAAGGAAAATAGAGAACAAAAGATGGTGTAGGAAGGGTGCTGCTACATTTTGGGGATTGTAATCAATGTCATGAAACAATGTATATGAATTGTTGAGTGGAAAACAAATTTAGTCTGTGAACGTTTATCAAATCATAATAATGTATAAAAATAATAAGAAAGATGACAGCCTTGAGAACTCTACAGGGCAGTTTTACTCTAAGGTCCCTCTGTTTTGGAATCAACTTGGCGACTATATGAATACAAAAGTAGAAAGTTTTATGGGATTTTTTCCCCCTCATGTTCATTATCTGAAGGGTTATTTGGCTTGATTTTAATCTTATTCTTTTGATATTAAAAAAAGGTTGGATTCTTGAAACAGGACCTACTAAAGTTTAATCTTTTGATATTAAAAAAAGGTTGGATTCTTGAAACAGGACCTACTAAAGTTTAAATAGTAAAGAAATAAATTGCTGTAATAGAATCAAACATCCCCTTAGTTACAATGATTCTGACTAATACATTAATAAATATTTGTGTGTTGACCATATTCTTTGATAACTTCAGTTTCTAGGCATTATTATTAGAAACACTGAAAAATTACAGAATGTCTACTATTATGCGAAATATGTATTTTTACCTCTAAAATAAATATTCTTCTTTTCTTTAGGGCATCTGTATGTAATGTATTGTTGACTTGCTGTAAAGATAATGTATGCCGTCTTTGGGTAGAGACATTTTTGCCAAATGATTGCTTGCTGTATGGAGGTGATTGCAGCCATTGGACTGAACCCATTAATTTAACAAATAACTTCAAGAGGAATACTTCTAGTAAAGAACGGGTTCAGAACGCTTTAGAAGTGAGTGTGTTTGCTCTGTGTTGTTTCCTTTAAATTTTAAAACCCTTTATACATAGTTTTTAAAGTAACAGTTGTTCTATTCAATATACAAGAACATATAGGTACTTAGGTAATTGTGAAGAATAAACATCTTTAGAAAACAACTTTCAGGAGTTTTTCAGGTTTTAAAAAAATAAAAAAGATAAACTTAGATTTTGTGTAAGAAACAAAACTGCCTATTCATTATGAAACCAGTTGAAGATAGAATAGTAACAAAGATTCCTCTTCTTGTATATGGATATATACAAGAATATATATACAATATATATATATTGTATGACACTTGGCAACTAATGGAATGGTTTTTTTATACTAATATTGTTATTGTTGTTTTATGTGCTTTTGAATCAGAACCAACTCATAGCAGCAGACTCTTCAACAGGTTTCTAGATGCTATAAATTGCTCAAAAGGATAGTGGCCACCTTTCTCTAATAGAGGATCTGGTGGATTCAAACTACATGCCTTTGAGTTAGCAGCACAACTCCTTACCACTAGACTATTCAGACACATGAACAAATTTTTAAATGTTTAAAATCCCTAGCTATTAGAGGGATGAAAATCAAACCAACTATGAGATCTCATTTCACCTCAGTAACAATAGCAAAGTTTAACATAGAAGCAAACAACAAATGCTGGTGAGATTGTGGAAAGATCAGAACCCTTATTCACTGCTTGAGAGAGTGTAAAATGGTGCAACTACTATGGGAGGTGATCTGACACTTCCTCAAAAAGTTGGAAATAGAAAAGCCATTTGACCCAGAAGTTCCACTAGAAGGAATATAATCTAAAGAACCTGGAGCTCCACCCAAATGGAACCATGTACACCCATGTTTATTGCTGTGCTAATCACAATAGAAAAGAGATGCAAGAGAGATGGAAGCAACCAAAGTGCCATAAACAAATGAATGGATAGAAAAACTATGATATATTTGCACAATAGAATACTATGCAGCACTGAAAAACAAGGGACTCATATTACACAACATAGGTGACTCTGGAGGGCATTATGCTAAGTGAAATATCTCGGCCACAAAAGAACCAATATAGTGGTGCATAATACCACTGTTATAAAACAGTACTGACATGAGGGTTGGGGAGAAATTAAGAAAAGAGAGAATAAATTAACCCTGCTTTGGAACAGATGAAGGCAAGAACAGTTTAAAAGGAATATATGATTAGGCATTATCTGTATGACAGCAGTCCAGAATAAGAAGCACCTAGCAAAGTGGACTGAGGATGGGGGGAAATTATGTAACAATGAATGCTTTTTTTTTTTAAGTGCACTAGGGTGAGGATAAGGAGGAAAATGTATAAAAGTGAATGAATGAAAATCCAACTTCTCTGTAAACTTTGTTAAAGTCTCATATTTTTTAAAAATGAAAGCATTTTCTACTTTTATTCTGCCTTATGATAGAAGATCTGTGGGTCTGTATAAACTATTTTCTCATAAGAAAGATGAGAATACTTGTACAACCTATCTCATCAGATCAAATGAGATGATCCATATAAAATGTTTTGTAAATGATGAAAAATGGTTTGTGTTTATTTTATTTGTATTTTATTTTATATTTTATTTATTTTAGATTTTATGTTTGTATTCTTCAGTGCTTCATGATTAATGGGATTAACCCGTGAAAACTGTATACACAGCCATCATTTCCACAGCTCACTATTGTAAACTTTTCCCCCTCCATTTTTACATTAAGGAAATTCACGATAATAAATAAAATTTAATTGCAAAGAATTTGAAGACTAAAAGAGAGGCAGACTATTTTATTACCTTATTGTTTTTGCAGTAAAATACTCGGGTATAAGTAGTATCTGACAGTCATTATGTAATCTATATATATCTATCTATAGCTATATCTATTTCCAAATCCATCTCTATATCTGTCTATCTATATATCTTTTTATATCTGTATATGATCTGTTACAATATAGGCAGTAACTTTACTTTTTCCTCATACAGGTTAATCTGAGACATTTTCGTAGAGGCCGAAGGAAATCACTTGCACTTGTAGCACATACTGGATACTTGCCACATCAGCAAGATCCACATCATGTCCACAGGAACACTCCATTGCATGCCAATGCACTTTGCCACTTTCATATTGCTGCCAGCATTAACCCAGCCACAGGTAATAAAGCACTGTTCAAAACATATTTTTGGAATTCAGTACACTGATTTTATAACAAATAAGTTGTCCATTTCATTTTATGGTAAGAAATCAGTGATTTTTCAGACTGACTTTTCATTGTGCCCACCTAACTATACAGAAAGCTCTTTAAGGCCATGATTCGAGATGTGGTTGAAGAGCTTAGTAAGTCATTGAAATGTCCACCATTAACTCATTTAAATATTTAGATTTGCACTAAGACTTAATCTAAAAAGGTTAACAATATAGTACTATCTTTTATAATTATTATAAAGTTACTAAAATAAAAGCAATAATTTTATTACTTGGTATTTGGAACCATTCTGAGAATGGAGTAGAAATACTTTGTAATTCTGACTGCCAGAGTTTAGAAAATTGTCTCAGTAGTCAAATTAGATTCTATTAGACAGTTTGAAAGAACTAAAATATTTGGGTTTATCTATGGATGAAGGATGACAGAAGAATTGATGCTCTTGAACTTTCTGTTAATCCAGACTCTTGATTATATATTCTTCAAATATTCCAACCGTATGGGCAAACCTGTCTTGAAGGTAGTTCAACCAGAGTGTTCTTAAGGGCAAAGATGGTAAAATTTTATCTCAACTTACTTTGGGTATATTTACAGGAGGATCCAGTCCTTGGCTAGAGTCATCAATGCTGGAAAAGATAAAGGGTCAGCAAAAGAAAGACTTTCAACTAGATGGGCTGCCAAAGTTATTGCCACAATGACTGCCACAGTGGACTTGATCATGACAGAGATCATAAGGGTGGCACAGAATAAATAGGGCAAAGTTCAGATCTGTTGGTTTCAGATGTCATAGTTAATTTGATTGCACCTAACAACAACTTATGAAAGTGAAGAGTTAAGTGCTCATCTTTTTAGGAATGATTTCTGTGAGTATAAAAACCCATAACGGTCATAATTGGGGCCTTTTAAAGGGAAATAAGGCTGTGTTATTTGGGGGAAAATGAGAAACTGCGTGATAAATTTCATCTATACAGGAATTCATTTAATTGTGCTAATGCGAAACCTATACTTGGACCAAGAGGCAGTAGTCAGAACAGAGCAGGGTAACACTGCATGGTTCAAAACAGGGAAGGGTGTACGCCAGGGATGCATCCTGT